TTATTGCTTAGATAACTTGAAGTTTTGGAAATAGAAAAAAAAGATGAATGAATGTACACTGAATGCTTGTTGTATCAGAGACAAATTCCTTTTGTGTCCAGTCACACTTGGCCAATAGAGTATTCGCTATCCTTTCCTGTCCTATTCTATTCTATCCTACCTTAACCTAATCCATTCCATTCTATCCTATCCTATTCCAATTTTGAAAAACTGGAGGAACAATCGCAACTAAGACAACAGTCAGATGAAACAAATTTGAGTCCAAGGCAGAAATGCAGTTTGAGAAAGTATCTCAGACTTGACTCTTCCTAATTTTCTTAAAGTGTAGCACAAGAGTTCATTTTCACTGGTAGAGACATCGTGGGCCAGTCCTTTGCTGTTTCCAGGGAGGCTCCACAGGCACCTCACGGACCACACCCAGTCCGTGGGCCTGGAGTTTGACACCCTTATTCTGTGCGTTTCTTACCAATAAATGTACCCAGTAAAGAGCTGTGGTTTCACAGTGGTTAAAATGCAGTATTTCAGACTAATTCTGTTGACTGCCAGCAGTTCAATTCTCATTGACTCAAGGTAGACTCAGCTTCCAGCCTTCCGAGGTGGATAAAATGAAGACCCAGATTGTGGGGGCAATATGTTGATTCTGTAAACTACTTCAAGAGGGCTGTAAAGTAATGTGAAGTAGTATATAAATCTAAGTGCAATTGCTATCTTTTAATATCACTATCCTGTCAGATTATTCAGGTGGCTATAAGCATGCAATGGATATGCTTGCACAATTTCATCTGATCTTCAAAGATAAGCTGGTTGAGCCTGGTAAGAACTTGAATGGGAGACTATTTTAGAAATCCAGAGCGATTTCTAAATCTGGATGGGTGATTTTATATATAATTGAAAGCGGTGATGCACAAATGTTTGTAACCAAACAACATACTATATGTATATGTAATTGATAATGGTTTTATGTTTCATGTGTTGTTCGTCTTTGTTTGTCTAAAAATAAAAAAACTTTAAAAAAAGAAATCCAGAGCTGAAAGTTATACCAGGAAGCTAAAAAATTCCCCTGAGAAGATAATGCCCGATCCCTTTCACACTGTTGTCATCAAAATGGAGTAACTTTGCCTTCTTTATGCATGCATGAAATACATTTCTTTGAGGTTCCACTTTTCCCATATGCTTTTTCATATACTAGGTAGAACATTTAGAAATGCCAATGGGTAATATTTAAAATAAAATTTTAAAAACTAGAAAACTAGAGTTATTTTTTTTTCTTTAACATGTAGCCTTGGGAAAATACTGCCATCTGGTGGTCATTTGGTGGATAATTTCCTATACAGTATCCCAAAGAATAACAGCTGTATCGTGGTAAATCAATCGCCATCATGTATCCAAAGACATTTTCATTGTAGATCGTACTATTTAGGAAAGCATTAACTTTAATCAAAGAGAAAGTGGTGCTGTACATTTTTAAAAAGCAGTGCGGATAAAGAATGGCATGCTTATTTTTTTTTTAACTATCAGTTGATAACATATTCTAGTTTCATCATGGTTAGAGCAGATTATGTTTTAATGGTAGATTACAGAATCCTTAATCAAGCATATGCATCATTGCAGCTATCCAGTTTCAGAATTTGTGAATACACACACACACACACACACACACACACACACACACACGGTGTTTTATTATAAATGATTTTGCATTATTCAAGCTGATAACAAAAATAATTTAGATATATAAAAATTAAATGCTGACACAAAGCAAAATGTAAAATATAAAAAACAAGGAAAGGAAGAACTTTTGATAGCACATTCCCTTCACCATCCCTAGTCACTAATCACTACTTAAGCATTTCCCGTTTTCTTACAATATTGAACACTGTTGTTTATATTTATTTAAAATCATTTTATCTGATATTTTAATTAATCTCTTGTTTTTTTTAAAAAAAAAAAAATATTGCCAATAAGTAAGCCTGCTTTGGTGTGTGATGCTCTGAATGTAGATGAATGTCTGTAAGGAATATATACAGTCATTTTTTTCTTTGCTATATATTCTCCAATTTTGGTCTCCCATTGTTGAATATTAAATATGACTGAAGTAGATGAGCAACAATGCCAAAGCAAAGTTCTAATTCTACTCTTACCTGGAAGTAACCTTTGCTGAGAACTGGGATTTTTCCATCTAAATCTGCTTAGTACTGGAGAATAGAGATGATGCCAGTACATAATCAGTATTGTTTGGTTAAATTAAAATCTGTGGTAAACAGAGCATGTCCAATATGTTAGTATTGCCAGAATATCTGGGTC